AAGAGAAAGTAATCCAGTGATACAGTTCCACTTTTACATTTTTTATCTTGTTTACTTTTCTATGCTTAGTCATTGTGATATTCCTCACATTCACTTATAAATATTGTTCACAGCAGACAGGTGTACTAAATAGCTATTAGCAGATATCACACATTCTAGTTATTTGTTATATCCTTGGCTTTACCATCATGGGATGACAAGAGTAGTAAATGAAGGAGAGGGTAATTCCATTTCCTTATCTTTTTAGGTTTGACTTTATATTTCTGATGTTTACTATTTATTCCTTGCAAGAAAAGTATAAGAGGATTTTCAGTTTTTTACACTACTACAACTACATTATTTTGAGTTTTCAGTGTATAAAATGAGCTTAGTAATTACCTTGGTTTGAGTTTTGTTTCATATTGAAATTGACTCTTCCCTCAGAAAACCATTTTCTAACAATGAAATCACAATTTTCATATGGCATGACGAAAAATTGCCTTTCTTTCATCTAATGGTATCTAGTGTTTGTGGTTAGGTCTGTGATGTAGAATTGTGAATAATTGTGAATAAGTTAGGTCTGGTGTGTTTTGCCATCATGGCAAACACTTTCATTCTGGCCAAATCTATTGTGTAATACATCTCCCAGCCAATCAGTGACTGCAACAGGTTTAGGAGCCAGTTAGCCATTTACCTACAAACCTTTTTCAGTAGTGTCTGACATTATTACTTATTTTCATAGCATGTAAGAAAACACTAGTAATAATGACCAGTTGCCATTATTTATTTACAAACACCTCTAATTATATGTAAATAATGTAAAAAGTTATACTTTTCAATATCTTTGCATTTATGTTTTGATCATGAATGCATAAAGAATCCTAATTGCCACTTTCATCTTAATTGGTAGCATTTCCCATAGATACCATATTTGTTGAAATTGAATAGTTTTTATACAAGATGTGCACTTTACAAGCAAGCAAAACTTATATATTGGTTGCACAAAATTTGATATTGGCAAGTTCACTATTCTTTATAGACTAAAAGGACGGTAAGTTGTTGGATATTAGGTATTTCAAGTTGAATATAAGGAATGGTAGCTATGTGTACACAAAATTATAGTTTTGGAGTTTGTTTTTTATATTGTCAGGTATATATTTTATTTAGGACATTTATTTCAAAAGAAATTTATGGTGTGTGAATCAGACATTATAAGTTCTGAAATATTTAAAATTGTTACAAGTTAACAATAATCCCATACTATTGTCTAATTTGTTGAAAAATTGGTTAGCTCTATGAACTGTGAAGCTTTTAAGGAACGCAAACATTGAACCATTGTTAAACCTTGATTTTAAACTCCAATATGGTACTAAGCAAACTTATGGAAAGATGTTGCAGAGTCTGATACAAATGTATTTATATGATAAGAAATTGATTAAGGGTTTCCCCAATTTGTTCAGCATGAGCGAATACAGTTTATGAAATAAGGTCTGTTAATTTTCTTTTCATGATGAAAGTTAATGCTCACTTCTTAGATAAGCAAATGCAGGGATTGTTCCATTGTGCCCTGTCTACATATTATTTTTCTTTCCATCACTGAATAGTTTCTTTATTTACTGGTATATGGGTATAACAGCAAAATTATTGAAACTTGTAGAGAAATGGCAATGTAGTCTTTTGAATGAAACAGACACACTGGAAATTATCTGTTGGCAGTTTACTATGTGACATTTCTACAATTGATCAGTAAGTAAGTCAGTGCTCTTCACTTGTTGCTGTTCAATGTTCTTGTTGTTGGTTTTATGCTCTTGATACACAATAAATATCACACTGTTTTATTTTTATCAGAGAAATGAATTTTCAATTGTATACCACAAGTATTTGATGATATGTTGTTAGGAACTCCTCTGACTAACACTTGGTAAACAAAAGGAATGCACAAATGAAGTCTGTTATCTCAAGCCAATAGGGGAGTTAATCTAATATCAGGTAGGAGGAACTCAGCCAATAGCTGACTGTCATTACTTAGGCAGATTTGCTTTGAGAGAAGGATAGGCAGCCAATGACATAAGAGATCTGTTTGTAGAAGGAAAGTTTAAAATGGAAGAGGCTCTGGATCAAAAGCTGAAGACATTTTTTATTTTAATTGTGATGGGAAAGTGGTTCAGATCAAGAAGTAATGTATTTTTTTATCTATTGTGATTGTTCTGATGGTAAGTCATGTTAAATGAGAAGTATACAAATTTTAGATATAACTATTTTTATGTGATTTCAGGTGACTTGACGTCAGTAAGCCAAACTGACGCAGAGTCTTATGCTGACCCACGTATCTGTTTGGTTGGTTGTTTAGCTGATGACCCTGTAGCACTTGAAGCAGCTAAGGTATGTATTATTTTTGTTTTTATAACTTGTTTCAGTTATTCTAGGACCAGAGGTTTATATTTTATTATATCAATTATTTATAGTTTATAGTACTTCGGAAATTTTGAAGTTTTACATTTTACCCAATAAGAGGATATGT